ATGATGATGATGATGATGATGATGATGATGATGATGATGATGATGATGATGATGATGATGATGATGATGATGATGTCGACGACTATGATGACGATGACCAATTTTGTATTTGTATTAGTAACAAAAGTAAGATCCATATAATCTATACATATCATATTTGTGAAAGTTCGTCACTTTCGCAGCCTAAAACTTTCGAACCGCTGAACTTTCGAATTTGACGAAATTAATGGTGGTTCAGAATCATTTAAAGGATGCACAGTTTTATTGAGGAACCTGAAGTCACTGAAGTTTAGTTTTCAGGTTTTCATTAGTTTCGTTTAGATCTAATCTTGGGAAAGTCCGTCTTCTAAGACGCCATTGTAAAAAAGTGAGGTTTCCGTTCCCCGGCCGTGCGCAGTGTTTCCACAATGACTTGATGATCGACGATTATTTTAAGTACGTTCATCGAACGTGTACCCAGCTAGTTATATTATATATGTGATGCAGCGTGGTGGAATCAGGCTCTCGTCAATGTTTGGGCGTGTTGAGTTGTTGGTATCATTTTAAAGCTTGTTCACTTGTCTTTATTTGGATGAAAAAAATGTCCGTTTATCTTGAATACATGTGGAGATATTTGCGAATGAAGGAGGTGGGGGTCACCTGTTTTCAGAGGAAAAATTAGTGAGAAAATGGTCGCCAAAGATTGGTTACTTCCTTAGCTTAAGAGTCCGTGCTAACTGAAAATTTCCATTTTTGTGCCTTTAATCAACGTTTTTCAGAAAAATCCACACAAAAAACAAAAACTTTATAAAAATTCACAAACCTGCGGAAAAATGTAAGTTTCTTCAGATTCCACCACGCTGCCTCAAAAATAATACAAGATTCCTTTGTAACACGAGGACTTACCTCTAGCGCTGGAAATCCGTCGAATATTTCTTTGCCAAAGTACTCTGTTAATGTCAAGAGTCCCTCCAGCACACTGAGGTCAGCTATCGTGAGGCTGTCTCCCACCAGGTAGCCTGTGCCGTTCTCTGACGCGACCTTTAAGGAGATGGGGT